TTCAAGTTTCATACACATCCACTTGAGAAAAAGAGAAGAACAACAGGAAAAAATGAAATAATTAATACTCAGAACTCTAAAGTGGTTTCTGGCAATTGGACTATGGCATGTCTGACGTGAAACCGCAGCTACTTTGGCCTTCACAAGCTGACAGTGCTCAAGTCTGCTAACCTTTGGTCAGACTTACACATAGGCCTGCTGAACACTGCCCTGACACAGAAGCAGTGTTGCTGGCAAAATGTAAAACTAAGAGAGACAATAAAATACCTACTGTACACGTAATCAAGTAGGACAACAAAGACATTAAAGAGATAGACTCTATCTGTCTTGGCAGAGGATTATCACTGACTTGGAAAAAACCTATCAGCTAAGTGATTACAGACTAGCCTGTGTGGGTCGGTTGAGGTTAGACTTATGGATTTTGTATCACTCTAACAGTGGTCAATCATCAAAATACAGCATTTGAGTAGTTTTTAAATTGAAGACAATAGGTGTTCTTGGTTTTTTCTTGTTTTTTAATGGACAACTCACAAATGATGACTAATGTGTACTTGTGTATATTGGGGTATACGCTCAGTGTGTATTCGTGTCAAAGAGGCGTGCTGCATGGATTATCTGGCACAAGATGTCAGCAAAGATAGCTGAGTGAGGCAAGGTGACAGCAAAGCACTAATGTTTGGACTTTGTGATCATTGCTGTCTGCCTTGCTATATAAGCCTCAGTTCCTCACCAGTTTAATACAAGCACTACCAAGTGGACTTACAGATACACTAACAAACTCAGGTAAGATGGAGAGCTAAAAGAAACTTTCTTTGACTGTTAACTGTGTTGTTAACATGCTGTGGTAACTAACTGGTCTTTTCTTGTTACAGTGTCTAAGAGCCATGAAGGTCCTTGCTGTGCTCGTCCTAGCTGTTTTCACTGGTGAGTATAAGAAAAATCATTATTCTACTATAAATTTTGGCTCATGAGAACATATATACATAATTAGCAACTATTCCGCTCAAGATAAAGAAAATCGTTGGTGTTCAGTGAATATGACCTGTATAAATGTCAAATCCCAGTGAATATACAAAGCTGAAATATCTGCACTACTCTGAATTTATTCATGTCTCCATTAAACAGGCTGCAATGCCAACCTTTTTTATGCTGATGCACCAAAGCCACAGCTGGAGGTGGTGACTGATGCCTTCTGGGATTATGTTGCCAAAGCTACACAGACAGCTGAAGAAACCGTGAAGATGATTAGATCATCTCAGTTCGGACAGGATGTCAGGTAGATCATACAAAACTTGCTAATTATGTTAACAGACAACAAATTATAGTATTGCCTAAAATATTCAGGATAAGCTAGAAATATAACTGCGCTGCCTTGTATTCACTATCTTTTTTTTTTTCTTATTATTTTAATCTAGTGCCCGCTTGACAGAAAGTGTTGATGCTGCCAACAAGTATGCCGTCACCCTCCAGGAGCAGCTTCCACCTACAGCCCAGGACCTGATCACCAAAGTCACAACAGAGGCTGATGTGTTGAGAGATCGTGTGATCCAAGAGCTGAGCACAGTCAGAGAGAGGCTCGAGCCTTACACTGACAACATTCAGACACAGGTCCAGCAAAAGGTTGAGCAGCTCAAACAGGAGGTGGCCACCTACACAGATTCCCTGGACACTGAGGCCCTGAGGACCACCCTGACGCAGAAGAGCGAAGAGCTAAAGACCAGCCTGGAGCAGAGCGTGAAAGACCTGCAGACTCAGCTTGGTCCCTACACTGATGACCTGAAGCTGAAGGTGGACCAGCATCTGCAAGACTTCAAGGAGAAAGTGGCCCCCTTGACTGAGCGGGTGCAGAGTCAGATTGCACAGAGAGCCCAGCAGGTGAAAGAAATGGCCACCCCCTACGTTGATGAGCTGAGGGAAAGGCTGGACCCATATGCTCAGGACCTCCAGTCTCGTCTCACCTCCCTTTATGAATCCTTTGTTAAAGCCAATTAAGTTAACATCCACCTCACATAAAACAGAAAAACGTGCATCTAAAGTGCATCTAAAGAATTCCAAATACCAAGGACATGTTCCTGGTATCTGGAATTTAAAAAAAAAAAAACAGACGTTGTATGATATATTTACAGTTTTAAAAAAAGTTGATACATACAAAAAATATGTGTTGGTCTGTGACCACAAACAGTTTTCATGTTGTAGAAAATAAAGTGAAAGCAAAACTATAATTTCTGAGCGTGTTGTCTTATTTGAGTCAAGGTGATGTTAGATAAGTGTGGGTACCTGGAAAATATATTTCTTTAAAATTTAACACAAGAAGTAACTAGACAAAATTTAAAAAAAAAAGATTTGTACCATGACCTAAGAGATTTACGGTTTGTTCATGTTAGTTGGCTTTAAAAGCACTTTTTCTCAGGACTGGTGATTTGATGACTCATTAATAGCTATTATAGAAATTTTTTCATGCTATAAAGTACATAGATCTGTATGAGGTTTTACTTGTAGATTTGGGCTACTTGGACAGCTGGAAGGAAGCTTGTACATTG